TCAGCCGACCGCGTGCCGATCTCGCCCGTCCCGCAGAGCGGCCGTGCACGCTGCCAGGAGATCGAGCGCCGCCGCCGCCTCCTCCCGGACGACCTCTACCACGACGAGAGGTACGCCCCGACTCGACATTGTGGGACACGTGGTTCCGCGATGAGCATGACGTGCGGCGGGCGTCGTTCTTCGCCGGCACGTCAACGGGGCCGCGGCGGCCACGTGAGCCCCGAGCGGCTCCCCAGGCGGGCGCACGGGCGTACGCGGGTCCGCGGCCTGACGCCCACACCGCCGCCGTCGCCATCTCCATCGCCACCCCTACCCCCTTGCATGACGGCGGAGGAGGAGGGCCAGCTCATGGCGCGTGTGCTGGAGGACTCCATGCACACGCACGACGAGCGCCAATGGGCGGACCTCGAGGCGACGATGGCCCTCTCTGCGGCTGGCGACGTCGCCATCCCCGAGAAGCCGCCGGTGGCCGCGTTGCACCCTGACCTGGTGGGCCAGGGATGGAGCTGGTCGTGCTCCGCTAAGCAGATGGTGGCCGCCCTGGGGGCCGTGAACTGGTGCCCCACACCGCCGCGGTCGCCGGAGCGGGAGGCCTCGCCTCGGGAGGAAGTGGTGCAGGCACCACCGGCCACCTTGCAGCCCGCTGCCCCCGTGCACCACGGACCGCCGGCTCACCTGTGGACGCCGCCGGAATATGTCGACCTCGTCAGCGACGACGACGACACCGGCGGCCAGTGAAGACGGCGACGGCCACGGCATCGACGGGCGCGGCAGGAGCGCGCGAGAGGCGTTTTTTTGGTTTTATGTTAATTATGAACTGGGCCATTTAAGTGGGCCGATAAACTAGGCCGCTTTGTGGCTGTAACCCCTATATATACGTTTTATGTTTTTTTAACTACGTTTATTTACTTTTTTAGTCATTTTATTTATGTTTTTAATTTTTTTATTCACGTCCATCCCGAACAGGTATTGGGGTGCGGCCGCATGTTGGGCGCACCCACGACCCATCGGACAAACGCGGATATGGGCGAACCCATCGGCGCCCCAAAGGGACAAAATCCGGCCAAACCGGACGTCCGTTTGGGGTCGCGCGGTGGAGTTGACCTAACGTCCGTGGGGATGGTCGAGGGATGCTCCGCATCAGGTTTTAGTTCGTACAGTCAAAGAAACTTAGCTACATTCGCATACAATCTCGAGTTATATCATCATATACTTTGTACCCCATCACAATCAATACAATAAAAACACGACGTAGGGTTTTAGCTTTTTGAGAGGGACTGAACCTAGATAAATATCGTGTCTCATGTTACCATCTAGCCGAGATCATCATCTCAGGACCCTCTACCCAAGACTGTTGGATTTAGCACTGACAAGCATGTCTTCAGATCTCGTGGATTTGGTCAATGCTGGTCTTTGGTGGATCTGTTTGGATTCGGTCGTCGTTCGTCTTTGTTTAGGTGTTTATAGGTTTGATCCTTCCGATCTATGAATTTACTCGTCGGTGATGGTTGTTACTCTGGTGCACTAGTGATATGTTAATTTTGCATCATGCTTTTATGTTGATATTTATTGCATCAGGGGTTGTTATTATACATTATATCACAATATTTATGTCTATTCTTCCTTATTTTACAAGGTTTACATAAAAAGGAAAAATGCCGGCAGCTGAAATTCTGAACTGAAAAATGAGCAAATATTAGAGACCTATTTTACACAACTTCAAAAGTCATGAAACTTCATGAAGCTTATTTTTAAAATATATAAAAAATATTTAACGAAGAAAAAACCAGAGAGGGATCACCAGCCAGCCACAAGGATGAAGGGCGCGCCCCCCGACAAAAAAAACCAAGAAAAACAAAAACTAATAAAGAAACAAAAAACAAAGAGAAATATAGGAAATAGGAAAAAACAATAAAAATGGAGAAAGGAACAAATAAAGCCGAAGAAATAAGAACGAAATGAACAACTAGTAAAACCGGAATAAAGCAGAGAAATGGTGAAAAACAAATAAAAAACCCGAAGAAACCCCTAAAGATGAAAAGCATAAGAAAAACAAAAAAAGAAACGAAGAAAAAGCACAATCGAGCGAGCGAGCGAGAGAGCGTGAACAACCGCTGAAAATGGGCTAGCCCATTAATACGCGGGGAACAAAAAGCTTCATTCGTGACTATCTTCCATGTCTCAGAAAAAGGCGAGACTTTCTTCTCACTCATGTTGAGCGAGATATAGCGCGCGGAGGACGCGGATTACACGCTCGGCACAGATCCACATGGTGGCAGGATTCCGGATACCAGGGTCTCGACCTCCATTTGCATTTTTCGGGCTATATAGAGCATCTCTAGCAGACCCCTTATATCGCGCCGACTTGCAAAATAACCGTCAGTTTATGGTTTTGCGCAAAAAAAAAATGATCCAAATAGACACCATATCGGCCCGTGGCCTGTAAAAAAACTTACGGGGCGCGATTAATCTTCGTCTTCAACCTTTAGATACACGGGCTGGGAGCCGACCTGAGCTTGACCCCTATCGGTAACGATTTTCGGTGGGAGAGCGGCAGTTCCCGCTTCCCCTTCCCTCCACCGCCATTGATCCTCCTCTGCCCGCTCCGGACCACCATCCCCGGCCGCCCTGTCGCTGTCATGGAAGCCTCCCAGCCATCGCCCGTCACCATTGAAGTCATCCACGCGCCAACCCCTCCGGCAGATCTCCTCACCCGCCATGTCGCATCCTCGCAAGCGGCAGGGTAACGTCGTCGTCCAGGGCGGCGCTCCCGCAGCCCCTGCCGGGAAGGCACGCGCGCCCGCCTCCGCCACCGTAGTGAATCCGGTCCGGCCCACACCGACGAATAAAGGCAAGGTTTTGGGTGTGAAACGCACGAAGGCGACCGCAAGAGCTACCCCGCCAATAGCTCCCCCTATAGCCCCGGCAAGAGCTACCCCAAGGATACCCGCCGACGAGCTGCTGCCGCCGCTGCCAACGTGTTCGACGAAATGGGCGCAAGGTATGATACTTCGATTTCTTCTACATGTTTCACTATTTGCCATTGCACTTGTCCGTGACTTGTTGAGTGAAACTGTAGCGACGGCTTGCATGATGCGACTGACGAGTTTGTGCACTTGTTGGATGACAACACCGTCGACATCGATCAAGCTCTATCGATGACTACGGTTACAATGAGATGGATGGTGGCGTGCATGGTCACGGTGAGGAAGAAGATGAGGTGGAGGAGGTTGAGAAGGGGGTGTTCGACCAAAAGCAAGCAAAAGCGTGTGCAAGATTGAAGAACTACACGTATTTGGAAGATCAAGGCTTGGGAATCGGTGTCTCTTGATGTGTGCACCGACACTGACCAAACCGCCAAGCGGTATTGGCAAACGACAGAGGATTGGTTCTTTCGCATGATGACAAAGTATCCCAACAGAACACCATGCACCTTTAGGTCACTTCATGGTCGTTGGGACGTGATCAAGCCTATTTGTAGCCGGTGGGTTGCTTGCTTGGAATAAGTACGCAATGCACCTCCATGTGGTACCATTGAATCCGATTATGTGAGTTTGTTTTCACATTGTAGTGCAAATTATTTGTAGCCGTTGGAGTGGTAGCATGTGACATATTTGACATTGTTTTCATTTTGTAGGACAAAATTGTGCAAGAAACGTACAAGGACATGGAAGCTTCCAATGGCAGGTCATTTGCACTAAAGCATTGTTGGAAATTGCTTCAACATAGCCAAAAGTGGGAGTTGATTGATAAAGAACCCCCTTGAGAAGAGGTTCACTCACCGAGATGGATGATGATGATGAAGATGGCCCAAGAAACAAGAACGAGCCCGATGGAAATAAGAAAGCCAAGGACAAGATCAAGAGGGAATTAGAGGCATCAAGCTTGCGTGACAAGATAGATGCCATGGTGCAATCAAATGAGTTGGTGGTGGCCAAGACATTGGAGGTAAAGAAGGAGTTGGCCGAGAAGAAGGCACAAGAGAAGTAAGAAAAGTGGCAACTACTGAAGGAAGAGGGGTTGTGCAAGGCCGCCATTGAGGAGAGAAAAGCCCTTGCCGAGGAGAACAAGATCATGACTATGAACCGCAATGACATGGACGACATCACCAAAGAATGACATGATATCGCAAGGAGAGAGGTCTTGAAGAGAAGGATGATAGCCGCAAGGTCTGATGGCTTCGGTGCCGGTGGGAGAATGGGTGGTGGTGGTGGAGAGTGATGATGTTGATGGTGATGGTCATGGAGGTGATGGTGGCTTCGGTGGCGGTGGTGGAGAGCGATTACGATGATGAAGATGGTGATGGAGGTGGTAGTTGCTTTTGCATGAGGTTCTTTTGCGTGATGATTGAAAACTATGGTTAATTTCCGCGCAAACTATATTTGATTGTTCGAATTTGAAGCCAATCACCAGAATTGTGGTCAAATTGTCAAATTGTCAAACAGATCCTGCGAAGCGGAACTGTCAAACAGAATATTCTGCGAATATTCCCGCGAAGCGGAATTGTCAAACAGAATATTCTGCAAATGGGGTCTGTTCCATTCTCCTGCTTCCAGTGAATATTGGACCTTTCTGGTTCAACGAGCATCCCCAAGGATTGGTCCTTCTTTTGCGTTTGTGTGTGTGGTCGGGGGATCCGCGGGCTTAGTTCATCCGACGAAGATTCTGGACGAGAAAAAACTGTTCTTGTCCTTGGTTGTCTCCATCCATTTCTTTTATTAAAGGCCATGAAGGAGTTTCCATCCACTTTGCTGTATCGACTACTTTGCAGATCACTTTGAACACCTAAAATCTTAATTCCCTGTTCCTCCTATTTAGGTTGATTTTGTGGGGATTGCCACAAGAGGAAAACGAAGCCCTTGTCCGTAGGTTGTTCTTATTTACCTTTCAACAATATTTCCCGGTCACTTACGATGCTTTTTATTATGTGGGCACTAGCAATGATTTAGAAAGGTTGCTCTTGTTTTCACTCTCCAGGATACTGTGGTGTGTAATTGCAAATGGATCGCCATTCAACTACTACACAAAGCGACCTGGAGCGCATGCTATGTGATGAAAAGGTAGAACCGAAGGCCCTTCCATTATCGCTGCTGGAGGATATCACCAACCGATTTTCTGAGGAGCGGGAAATTGGTAGAGGTGGGTTCGCAGTGGTCTATAAGGTACAACAACTCTCAACTGTCCAACTAACATATTAGTTGATCTCAAGATTTTAGTTCATGCCATCAAACTATTGCGAATGTAGGGAGTGCTTAAGAATGGTGCGGCAATTGCTGTGAAGAGACTATCTAAGACATATATGTGCGAGAAAGAATTCCACCGAGAGGTTGAATGTCTGATAAAGGTGAATCACAAAAATGTGGTACGGTTTATTGGATATTGTGTCGACTCACAAGGGAGAGCAGAAAGCTACAATGGAAAATTTGTCATGGCAGATGTAGTACAAAGATTGCTCTACTTTGAGTACCTACCTCATGGAACTCTTGATAAATATATCACTGGTAGGATCATGTGGCAGACAAAGTTTGATTTGCATATTAATTTATTTTAAAGATTAGTTGGTCCATAATCGAAATATCAGACAAAGTTTGATTTGCACATTTATTTCCTTTTTAAGATTATTTGTTCCAAATATCCCATCGGTATAAAACTTACCATGCAGTATAGTACCTACGACCCAAAGATTTAAGGTTTGCATGTATGTCAACTGGTACTAAACTGACTTTCTCTTCTCCCTTACATAGATGCATCTACTGGACTTGACTAGAGAAAGCGCTACAAAATAATCAATGGGGTTTGCGAGGGTTTACACTACCTGCACCAAAATCAAATTCTTCACTTGGATCTTAAACCTCAAAACATTTTGTTGGATGATAATATGTTACCAAAAATTGCTGATTTTGGTCTAGCAAGGTGCTTTGATGAAAAGCAAAGTCGTGCTTTCACAACAAAAATATGGGGAACAATGTGAGCTAGCTAAGCCTATTGAAATATGTTTTTTCTTTATACTATGATTTATATTAGACCCTTTGCTCATTAAATGATTGGATAAATATTAATTTTTTGAAGGGGATATTTGGCACCAGAATCCGGCAGCCGTGAAGTCACATACCGGTTTGACTTATACAGTCTTGGTGTTATAATCATAGAGATACTAACCGGAAAGAGGGGGTATGAAGCTGTTGAGGATGTAAGAACACCTTGCCACCTTTCTAAGATAAAGGCTTCATTTTAACTTTGACTTAATTTATTTTGTTAGTTCCATGATACTTTTTAGACGTTGCATGTATGATTTCACTCTATTTAGAATAAATTACACAATACATCGTGTTTTGGGATAGTATATTAAAGTACATATGTAGTTTATAACACTTATTTTCATGAATTACATATACAATCTGTAGATACTTCAAAGTTGGAGCAACAGATTGGGTGAATCACAAAGAGACATACAACTGGAGCAAGTACGGGTATGTTCTGAGATAGGGATAGAGTGTATTGAGTCCAACCCAGCGAAAAGACCGGTTAGTGTGCAACATATAATCGCTCGGCTCCATGAAACAAGAAGTGTGGACGGTTCTATCGAAGATGCCATGACAAGATCATCAAGACCTCAAGTAATGTTCACTCTGGGAATATGTCATCCTCCAACAATCTTATACTACCTCTATAACTTAATATAAGACGTTTTTTTACACTCTGACAATGTCAAAAAACATCTTATGTATTAAGTTACAGTGGGAGTATTTGGGAGCTTTTTTATATCCTTACTTTTTAGCCAACCTTAAATAGTTATTTAATGGTTCATATTCGACTTCAGAAAGTAGATCCGTTGTGTTTCCACTTTTATTTGTTGGCGGTGGATGAGCCGATGAAGTGTCATTGCTTGTTATGCAGGTGGAAGCTGATTCCGATGATCCGCATCGTGGTGCACTTAAGGAAAGCTCTGAGGTGAGTTATCCCAACATATAACTCTTGATTCCAGACGAGCAATACTTAAGTGTTCCATTATCTATCCTTCAACTTCCACTAATCCAAAATAACGGAAAATAATCACAACATATGCATTGGTAATTAGATAGAGCAGTTGTTGCAATTAATGTACCACAAAAAAAAATACTTACATTCCAACATATTTGCTTGTGTTCCTTATTAGTAAGAGAGGCCCTTAATTTATATATATAGAGAGAGATTAAATGAAGTATATTACAAGCACTAAACAAAAGGACAATGAAATTCAGCGCAGAAAGTCAACGAAATCAGTACGGTTCATACTAGTACATAAGCCATGATTGTTAATTTTAACTCACAGTGGCCAGTAAATTGTCGGTACTAAAAGGTCCATTGATAAGTTGATTCATCCCAAAGGTACACAACACTGTAAAAAATATTACCCCCTCCGATCCAAAAATAAGTGTTGTGATTTTAGTTCAAATTAGGTAGTAGTATATAATTTGTGTGCCTTTGTTGTTGATGATATTGCTGCTGCAGATAAGCCCCGTCTCTAAGTTGGTGGATGAGGTGATGTCGGTGGCTGCTTCTGCAACACCATCCGACCAACTGCGACAAATTAGCCCACCCAGAGGACTAGGAGAGACGAACACTGAGGTAATTTTTACCACAAAAAGGCATTTTCCCTTTTTCCGCAGAACAAAGATACTCCTTGTGCACTGCCATTATCGCTGCTTCTCTCACTGCTGCTATGTCACGTCCAGTACGATATACAGAAACTTGTCACGGCAGTACCATGTACCAACACCACCACTAGGAGCAGCATTGTACTCTACATGCTTAGGGTGTTCATTTATGGTTTCAACTCAAACCATGGGTTGTTACTTGTTTTATTACTCCCTCCGATTCATATTAATTGTCGCTGGTTTAGGTTTCCAGGGACTTTTTTGTGTAGGGACTAAAAGAAGTCCTTCTTAGAGACTTTTTTACCAAACGGGAGGGACTTTTTAGGGACTAAACTAGTCATTTGGGACTAAATGAAGAGTCTTTTTGGGACTTTTTCAACAATGCCCCTTCATACACCCATTGGCCCTCCACCTCATGGTGTTGTTTGATTGTTATTTTTCTATATACTAGGGGCAACATGGTCATTTAATAACCTCTAGGAAAAGACTAGAGACTTTTTAGTCTCTGGAAACAAACAGGGAGGGACTTTTTAGGGACTAGGGACTTTTTAGTTGGGACTAGAAAAAGTCCTAAGACTAGAGAACCAAACACCACATTAGTACAAGTTTGCCAGCATGACTAGATAACAAACATGAACTACAACAATATTAAATGCTTTACTTCCGTTAAGAAAATAATGGAAAGGGGTGATAGTCCGGTTGGAAAAAATAGTAACTGGTTTCCATGATTTGTACTCAAACTGACTTTGACGACTTCTAACACCCCCTATGTAGTGCAATAACGCAAGTGACTTCAGCTTGATCAAAATATTTAAACAAGACAATTGTGGAAGCAGTTAAAACTTCTCTATTTAATAGGAGCATGAGAATTTCTGCATGTTAAGAGAACTAGGTTTAGTAAGGACTACTAGCCATTTAGATATAGAAGATCTAATATTGGTGTTTACTTTCTTTATAGGAGAAAAATATTAGTACTGGTATTTATAATAATTACGAAATTAAGGATTTTTTTTCCAGATGTCTAGTAACTTTCTAAGAGATATAAAAGAAGGATATCCCAGTGATTTTACCATGCATGTGCTATTACTTATTAGAAAACTTGAGAAATAAAACAATAAATGACTAAGCCAGTTAGGCTGCGTTTGGCAGCAAAGTTTTTTTTAAGTTTTCTAAGAATACCGTGGTTTCTGAAAAATACCAAGGTTTTGAATACTTTGATGCGTTTGGCTTCAGAAAAAACCAAAGTTTTAGAAACCACGGTATGCTAGAAACCATGTTTTTTTTGCAGTATTCGAAAAAGAGGTCCCGACCTCTTTTTTTAAAACAGAACAGAGAGAAATCTTCCGGGAGATCACACTTGACGTTGCCGTCTACATCAAGATAAAAATATTCAGAGTGATCCCATTCTATTTTCCCTCTTTCTCTTATATGGTAAACGATCATATTATATCTCCTGGTTATAGCCGATTCAATTTGATTAGTCTACCTTCCAGCCGGCGTCGCGTGCGAGTCTCTCTATCTCTTTGCAGTGCCATGACTGAATCAAGCTCACCACCAGGGAGGACACTGGTCTGCAACAAGCTATTTCTCGAGTCCTTGGCTGCCTATGTATTTCCCGCGAGTAGCGCACGGATTAGATTGATTGATCCTTTTGGAGAACACTCATAATCAGCAGGTTATATATGCTAGCTAACTAGCCGATTCAGTATAAATGGCGCATATACACGCACAAAGAATTTAGGACCGGCTCAAAGTACATGCACGTATATAGACATATAATGGCAACACGCTCCTAGGATTGTATTACTTCAATCTACTAGTTGACTACTCCTAGGATGGTATTTCTTCAATCTAGTTGACTGATCGCGTGCATGGCAGCTGCATGCAACCGGTCGACGTTAGCAGCCGCTAATTACTCAGTCATCCATGTTAAAATACTTGGTCAAAACTTTGGTTAAACTATCCAGTAGTGTATGCATCTCAAAAGAAATTATAGGTATGTTTTTCTGCTGCTTATAATTTTGCCTTGAACGGTCAGTCAGTGTTACAACTGTCACCATTGCAGGATCATTGCTCTGAGGTAGCAAGCTGTTGCTTGATGCATGCTCCTAGCAACTGCTCGGTGCCTGATGTTGGAAGGGAAGGCCTGGCGCAGAGTACCAATCGACTAGACTCTCGTTTATCTGATGGTGATGAGATTTGGCCATTTCTCTAAACCGCGCGAAAAAAAGCATGTATGATATCATGCACTAAATGGAATCTCAAACTGCAGACAACAAAGTCTTCTCAAATTCTACATGGAGAAGGCGAGTTTCAGTTACTGTGACGTTCTCTGTGTTTGTTGTACTGCTCGGACCTTCAGACTTATTATGTCATTTACCTTTTTATTCAGTTTCTTCATAGCAAGCCTAGACGCGTACTGTTAGCTAGCGTATTGCACTTTTTTTTTTTGGAAAAGGGGTGATACCCCGGCCTCTGCATCAGAGAAATGCATACAAAGATGGGTCATCTATTTTGGAACGGAGGGAGTAAGAAATAACACAAAATGCAAGTGCAGTCTTGGATATAACCAGCCAGCCATGGAGCAGTTTTTATCTCTGATCATGTCTAGCAGTAAGGAACTTTGGCGGTGTGCTGTTTCATGATATTGTACTTGAAATTTCAGGGCTACACGCATCCATTTGAGCGGCAAGCAATACGGATCAGAGGGAAAATCCATGACTATATACATATATATTCACATTGTGTCTACCTAGGGTTACGAAAAAGGAGGTGCTCCTTCCTTCAACTGCCGGCGCCACAAGGGGTTCCCATAGTCTCTGTCGGGCGCTGCGATGGTGGGGGCATGAGGGAACCCCAAATTTGAGTGTCCCGATCCATGGTAACAATATGAATAGTTTAAAGATTTGTCTTAGATTGTCGGCGGTGTCGTCAGGACGGAATAAAGGCTCGCTCGCCCTCACCCTTGTTTCGGTGGTGCTTTGTACTGCCGGGAGGCATGTGGAAGAAGCGATCCTCGCGGATGGCGGCGCTTCCTAGTCCTGATGGCCCCGAAACATTATTTATAATAATAATAATAATATTGGAATTCTTTGTATTTCTGGTGAACCTGTATAATTGATTCGAGCCA